TTTTTTGTTGTTTTTTTTGTTTTTTTTCTGGGAATCTAATGTCATATAATTATTATTATTCATGAATTATCAGGTACACAGCCGAAAAAGAGTGAAAAAATGAGTAAAAATAAACTACCAGGCATGTAAAGAGATTTGCATATGTCAAGGTGTGCATCCTCTGTTTACCTTCTCATCATCATCATCATCATCATAGCAAACAGCTTCATCAGACCAGTCTCACGCTCCACTCTCTGAAGCTTTACAGTCGTCTGTCTCTGGAGACAGAGGCGGAGAGGGAAAAGATGGAGAATGTCGAGGAAAGAGAGCTGGTGGGTGGAAGGAAAGAGGAGGGAAGGATGTATAAGGGGGAAAAAATGGGAGCTCCATGTTGGGAGGAAGCACCAGAAGCCTAATATTGTGAAAGATGAAATTGTACTAAAAACAGGAAAAGTCCAAGACAAATATAAGAAGCATGTGACAGCACAACCCAGCAGATGTATTTACTCCTTCAGGATAATCATGGAGGACACATAAGGGATGGATTGGTTTATAAAGGAGCACAACTGTACATTTTCCCTCATGAAGAACTATTTTAAAATGTGACAGCAAGTGGCCCGGTCAGATGACTGAGCTGGAAGCAGGGAATACAATTCAATCAGCAAGCAGTGAAACAAGGAACCACCTGGTTTTCACTAAACAAACTGGTAAAAATAAACACTCCCAATGAGAAATATGATGATAATTAACATATTTTAGCTTGTAGTAACCCTTTAAGCCTTAGCTTTAATACCTACAATGACTAGTGTTTTTGGAATTTCTTGTGTGTACATCTCAAGTGTATATTCCCTTTGTATTTAGTAGAATTATATTAAAACTGTATTGCTGGGGCCACACAATGTTCCAAACCGTAATTATTTCTCCAAGGAGAAAAATACTCAGTTCAAGCTTTGTGATGTATTTGTGCTACACAGATGAAGAAAATGGGAAGGACTCTTTTAATTTGGTTTTACTTCAGTGATTATGTTCGAAAAACACCTGAGCTGCAGGTTTCCTGTAAGATGTGATAGTTTCAAATGCAACAGAAAATGATTTTATTTGATTCACAAATGTCAAAGAATACAGTGTCAAAGTGCTATTTACATACGTATAATATATATTGACCCAAAACATTAAACTTTCTAGCATTGCATCATCTAATGAACCAACAAAATATATATAATTTTTGGTTTAGATCTATAGATCACCATTCAGAGCCAAAAAAGATTCCTGTCACTTTGCTAATCAGTTGCTGCATCACAAGTTTCCACTGATAGTTTTCAGTTCTTTTGATTTTGTCTCACCTTAAAATCTGGAGCTAAGAGTGGAAACACTCTTACATTATTGACTAGTAAATGTAAGAGTGTTTTCACTCTTACAATGTTTGAGCAGCGGAGCAGTGGAGTCTTTTATTGGGACTAAACATCTGCGTAGCCCAGAGACAACAGCTTATTAGCGAGGCTAATGGGGTGGAAAAAGCCTTCAGTTTGACAGGAAACATGCATACTGGACTCTAGAGCATTTAAAAAGGATCTTTTTCTCTGATGAGCCGTGACTTAGCCTGTTTGAAATTTAATGAGTGCATCATGAAAATGCAAATGGCAGAAAAAGTGAGGCTGCCATCAAACAGAGTGTTTGCCAGAGAAGCCTGTGGAGGCAGTGTGGTGATATAGGCTTGGGTAGGTTGGACAGGTCAATGTTATTACATGTTATCTTTCCAAAATTGTTCTATCAGCTTATTACGATGCTTCTCTATCACGTAAAACGATGAAGGAGAGTTTCTAAATGTCTCACTACGACTGAGCGAGATGCAGCACCCTCTGTACCTTGTCGCATTCTCCTTCTGTTGTGTTGTTAAAAAAAAGAGAACAGAGACAAAAGCCAGAGCGGTAACACGTTTACCCCCTACTGAATTATATATTCCCCTGGTTGATGTGAACACCTGCTTCTGCAGAAACCAACTGAGACTACTTTGCCTATTAAAGCCAATTAGCATGGGAGCAACGCCTGAAAACTCAGGAGCTGCTTACGAGGTAATTCGTGTGGGATGCAGTTGACAGCAAACTCTCAGTGGAAACAAACTGGGCTCTTGACAACGATTGCACACAAGGGAGACGTTTTACAGAGTTTAAACATCTCAGCTCTTCCGTCAACAGTTTTCCATTTTGTGCGGTGTGTGAATGCAGACATTTTGGAATCATTGGAGGTAAAATAAGACATTAATGTGTGTAACCACACCACTCACTCATTGATCTGTGAAGAAAGACATGTTATTTGTGGCTGATCATTTAAGACAGAAAAAATAAGCAAACCTACACAGAAAAATTAGGCTGCATCACTGTTGCTAGGGAAAATGAGTTCACCTAAATAGTTTGGATTTGTTTAAATATCACAGCCTGACAGCTGACAGCTCTGTTTTAGCAAGAAGTGAAGCTAAGCTGGTGCACAGAAAGATGCCGGGTATGAGCTGGCTTCGCTATAATGCTCATGTTTAGTGCATAATACCATTGTGGGTGGGCATCACAAGATATTAAATATGACAAAAGTTGCACAGAGGTTTGTATATTTGTATGCATAAGACAAAACAGTGTGCATTTTATTTACAAAATGTTAATGTTTTAACTATCTGGTCTTCTATCTCAGTCTAAAGCATGCTGATTTGCATTAAAACATGGATGAGTGGTAGTGCAGTTTGTGCGCGTCAGTGATCCGGACTGCATTGTTTATCAGCCTTTATTGTTGCTCTGCTTCAGCAAAGCAGAAAAGATGGAGGCTTATTTAATTACACCGTTTCTGTGTAAGTTGGCATGACTAAATGTATTATTGTTTTCAGTCTTCCAAGTTAATCTCGCAGCACACTGAAATGCCTCCCACATCTGGAAACAGCGTGGGCAGCTTCTGAAGCAGAACAAATGAAATAGCGAGGCACTTTACTCTTAGGCGCAGTGAGAGGCGTGAACGCAACACCAGAGTCGACGCGCTTCTGTTCATTGACTGGGGCGAGCACTAGGACGGACGTGGACGTCTGACACGTCTGAATGCAAAGACATTTACTGAGGAAGCTTCAAAACACTGCGTTTCATCTCTTTTATATGTTCACGTAACTAAATTCAGCATGTGTGTGTGTGTGCATTTGTTTGTATTACCTTGTGGGGACCATTTTCTTGACACATGCTGCGTTGTGGGGACCGAAGCCTGGTCCCCACAAGGGGAAGCGCTGTTTTTGGGTCAGGGGTTAGATTTAGGACTAAAGGGGTAAGGTTTAGGCTGTAGAAACAAATGGAAGTCAATGGAAAGTCCCCACAAAGATAGCCACGCAAATGTGTGTGTGCTTGTGTGTAGGTGTGTGTGTGCGTATGTGTGTGGACTGTTGGTGAGAAAACCTGCAGTAGATGTGGAACTGACAGCATGAAATTATGATCAGCAACAAACAGAAGGGTGTAAGTTTGATTTCACCAAAAGCAATCTCTGCTTTTATTGATCATCTGTCAGACTGACAGCCTAAGGAACGCCTAAGAGGAAAAAATCAACAAATCCTGTAAAAACTATTTGTAAACACTCACAGCAACATTTTTTTTTTTTAACTCAGCAGCGTCTTCTATAATGATTATCAGAGGAGGGGGGAGTACCAAGTTATTTACTTTCATTTTATATGCATCAAAAGTATAGAATAAAAGAAAGCTGCCCCTTTTTGTTAAGGTCGTATTAATGAAAAATGCATCCAAACACCACCAGCAGTAAATATATGGGGCCTTGAACATTGTGTAGGATTATCTGCTGCAAATTTATGGGGTTTTTTTTTATAATTTTTTTGATAAACCAAAACAAAGAGGTGAAGTGTATTACTGACAAGTAGGAAACAAATTATGGTGTTTTAGCAGAATAAAGATATATAATTTTGATTTTGATATGTACCATTTTACTCTGGTACATATAAATAAACTCTAGTGCAACCATGTGCCTTCAGAAGTAATCTGCTGACAGTAAAACTATTCGTTGTTCTCTATTAAAGCCAAAAACATGGAAGAAGGTGCCCTGATCAGATGATGCCAAGATATATATTTTTGGCCAACACCCAAACCAGTATTTAACCGTGAACACAACACAGTGGTGACAGCATCATACTGTGGGGACGAGTTTCTTCAGCAGAGACTGTAAACCTGGTCAAAGTTGATGGGAAGACGCATGAAGCTGAATACATGGCAGTTCTTGAAGAAAACTTGTTTCAACACTGGAAAAGACTTTGATCTCGAGGACAACCACCAGGATGACTATTAAAACATAGCCAGAAAGTTTAAGATTAAGGTATTTGTTACAAATGGCCCAGTCAAAGTCCAAATCTAAATCAAATTAGGAATCCGTAGTAAGACTTGAAAGCTTTATGGGGAAGAATATTCAAATTTAAGGTGGCTTGAGAAGGAACTGACTTGGGAGAACGAGGAGCTGAATATGGTTACATTTTCATATTTTTATTTGTAAAAACAAAACATTTTGACAATCATTTATTATTTTCCTTCTACTTCACCATTACGTTCTACTTTGTGTTAGTCTTTAACATAAAATCCCAACAAATGGATTGAATTTTAGCTGCCATCACTAACAACATAGCTCGATGGATTCAGAGATGTTGCCATGGAGATCACAAACAAAAACTTTTTTTCTGGTGGACGTAGCTGTAAAAAAATCCAACCTGTCTTCCCATTATTGAACATAAGCAGGATAAATAAGTGGTGTTGATGTTTTATACTCGGCTAATGGCTCTGACTCCAAGCACACCGCATTCTGTGCCTCTTCACTCAGACAATTTGGACATCTGCACCAATCCTCCACAAAAAAGCTAACCACCATCCTCTGTACATCATCGAAGGCCATTCTTATCATCATCCAAGCCTTAAAAACACTTCATCTCAGTGCAGGGAGCCAAGATTTACATGAGTTTTCCCGGAGCAAGACTTAAAGAGATTGCTCTGAGATGATGACTGGCATGTTGCACGTGTTACAAAATCCTCACTGGACTGAGACTTTTTGTCATTTATTCTCCCTAATAGAAAACCACAGGTTATTGCCCTGAGGCAACACTCAGGCTGCCCAGGCTTACAATTTATGAGCACAAAGTGAAATCAAACAGAATGTCTACGGGGATCCAATTGTTTTTTAACACACTACTGGGGACTGAATTACCACTTTGTGTTGCAGTAGAGAAATAAAGCGAGGTGGGAAATAAGTGAGTGAGAGATTGAAAGGAGGAGATTTATGTTGAACCTAATCTCCAATGGCATTATTGTTCTCTCAATTAATTCATTGAAAGGCCAAAGATATATTTTTTTCGTCCACATATCTAAAACAAAAATCAAGTTTTCAAATTTTACCTGGAGAGCCAATGAAGTGATAAAAGCAACACAGCATTGAGCTGTGTGAAGCTGACACCCCACCCACGTCAAAAACTTCAGCAAATAGTCTGAATGGTTAGTGCTCCGTTTGTGCAGGTTTGTGCCGTTAAAATTTTCGTTTGTGCAGTTTTGGTTTCTGAGATATTAAAAATTATTTTTTAGGTCATCCAGAGTTCACCATCCCCCCATATCGCTCCAAAACAAACCAAAGTGGGCTACTTCGTTAGTGCTCCGTTTGTGCAGGTTTGTGCAGTTAAAACTGTCGTTTGTGCACCTTCCGTCTTTGAGATATTAAAAGTTATAATTTTGCCGATGACGTCACCATCACCCCATCTTGCTCCAAAACAAACCGAAGTGGGCTACTTCGTTTAAATTCTTCAGATTTTCAGCTGTTGTACAATATGTACCTTCTTTTGTTTTGAACTTCAATAAAGATTTAGAACAAGAAGAAATTTGTCTAATTTCAAGAAATGTTTTAAGATATGCTAGTTGCTTGAGCAAAGTTTTTGCAGAGTAAACTGGAAGTGCGTCACTGGTTCAACAAAGTTCATCCAAGTAATGTACTTAATATTTAGTAAATATATTTTAAATGCAACAATTTTCATTTCATCCTGTTTGACATTAAATGTCCGGTTTACTCTGCAAAAACTTTGCTCAAGCAACTAGCATATTAGCTATGGATTTTTTTATTATTATTTTTACCCGTTTGCTGCATAATCAGCAGAAAGTAAGTCAACAATGTAAATATAATTGTTCAGACCACCTCCGAAACCAAAGCACAGTTGAACAGGTTATACACATTACGTTAGGGTCATGGCTGCATGTCCTTTATTTCAATTATTCTGGAGAGACCGCTATATTCGTGAGAAAACATTGCATTCTTGTTGGTTCTGCAGGAGGCTCCACTTCTGCTTTTCAATGTACGGTTGTATAATTGCTGATCTGTTTCCAGGCATTTTCATGTAAGCGTTGAGTTGGGGCGCAGCTCATTCTGAAAGCTCTAAATTGGCCTGCCCAGATTGAAATCTCATTATCAAAGAATGATATTGTGCAAAAAAAAAATAAAAAAAAATGCAATGAACATGTTTTGTTTTGCCCAAAGATCTATCCTAATCTGTTTAAGGAAGCATAATAGGTCACCTCTAAGAGTTTAGCAGGTAATGGATCAACAGTTAAAACCACAAACAGCTCATCCTCAATTTAACCAGCAAAAAGAAGCTACCCTCCACAAACTCCAGCACTGCACTCATCCATGATGGGAAATAAATGGACATCATTTATGCCAGCAGCAATATAATTGCTGCTCTTTTTCCATTTGATTCCCCCAAAAGATAGTGAGAATATGGCTAAGGAGATGAGTCATGTGATAAAAAAAAGACAGTAGGTTATCATTCTGACAGATGATCTGAAAGAATGAAAAGGCAGAAGGGAAATGTGCTCATGTAGGGAAACCAGATCAAGAAAACATGCACATACAGGAAGCAGCGATTATTAACTCCACCGGCTCAGCTGCTGTTAAAGGTTTTCTGAAATGAAATCTACTTTTGTTCATTCTGACTCTTTGAGTTAAAAAAAAAAAAAAAACTCAACACTCTAGCCTCTGGCAAAATATATTTTTGCTGCTAACTATCTCTGTGAGTCAAGATCTTTGTTAGAACCTGCACCCTTTAAATTGTCCACTGGTCAAAATGTGCTGGCTTCAGCCAATTTCTGTGATAAATGACCCGTCATCATTTAGGCTGATTAAGCTCCTTGTATGTGTGGCAGTCAGGTGTGCCGTCCACAGGGATTTCTTCAGCTTCTTGTTATTTTTCTTCCTCACCTCGTCTCCGAGCCTTCTCAAAGGTGAGGGGAAAATGTGCTGCAGGATAATTGAAGCTGTTTTGCAAGAGCTTATTGGAGATTGTATTTGCGCTCAACAATGCTTGTTGGGGCCAGAAAATGGAAAGAAATAGGATTTATAGCACTAACCCGTCTCGTTACCTGCTTTACGCTGTCAGCTGTCACTGCAGGCCCAGGATAATGCAATATGCAGTACCCACAGGGCAAGTGTACAGTTTGATTGTGGATCCTCCAAAGGTTGGTGCAGTGTGTGACTGACAGACATCTGCACTGTCTGCAGTTCTCTCTCAGCCAAGTCAAACTGTACGAGTCGCTGACAGTAGGGAGATACAGTCAATTATTGTGGGTACGAATAGGACAGAGTTCCTAAACCTGCCTCACTACCAGTTTGTGGAATGAAGAGTACAGTTTTCAAGTCCTTTATGAAAACAGTCTACCTTATAGAGGTGATTAGGATTAAAACAATCTGTTATTGTCTAGCACCAACAACTATTCAAAGTAACTTAAATCACCTATTACCCATCCTGAGGCTTGGTTTGAACTTTAGGAAGTTTAAGCAACTCAACGTGTGCATTACAAAGCTGCTAATGAATGTAAATCAATTAGCTTTGTAGCTCCACCTCATCAAACCATCCAACAATGTAGGGAACCCAGAAGAAGAAAGGACTGTACGCCACCAAACTGCAGTAAAAGATGTGGCAGCGCTGGTTGGAGAAAGACAGGGCAGGATGGTAGTTTGTCAGGTTGTAGCTTGAATTGATAGAACATCACAATATACTGCATTTAAAAAAAAGGCGTTAAATTCTTAAGAGAAAACTTTTAAGAGTTATTTAAAAATAGTTTCTGATATCTTCCTTTCTGAGAGAAAGAATAAAAAGGGATATTTGCTCACCCTCCCCACAAATCCATTAGGAAAAAGTAATGACATTAAAGAGAAAACATTGAAACTGCACGACAAAAGAAAACCGCAAGACACCAAAAAATGAACCTTGAGGCCAATTTTGAAAGACAGTTTTGCACCAAATATCTATTACTTTGGCCTTAAGACATGCTTCAGAGCAGACATTTTCACAGCTGCTTTTAACTGGCCTTTATTTGTCTCACTGATGGGCTTTTCATTTCAGCAGAACCCAGTGCGATCCTTGCATTTACTTTCACCAGTGGGGAAAAAAGAAGTTAAAAACCTGGAACAGAATGATAAAAAAGAAGAGAAGGAAGAAATCATGCTGGCAAGTCACATTGTATTCATGTCACACTGTGACCGTCTAAACGTTTGTGCAAATATGTGTGTTGTCCTCAGAGCAACAGAAAAAGATTCGGTGAAGCTGCTGGTTGAGTCTGGTAAAAGAACGTCGTTTCTCAAAAGAAGCTGAAAGGCCACTCAGACAGGAAGAGGTCATGACTGCAAAAACACAGAAATTTGTTTTTGACAGGAAAAAATTACCAAAACATTTAAATATTTAACATAAAAACATTGATGACAAATATTTAACCCCTTCAAGGCAATATTTCGTAAATGTAGCTTTGCCAAACCATTTCTATGTAGCTTTAGATGAACGCTTCAGGATGTTTTCTTACTTGTGAGACTACCAGTACCACTTGGCTGGTCCTCTGTTGAATTAGGTCAGTCACTTAAAAGGAGAGAATATTTATGCAATCACTTTTATTTAAAATACATGTAGTTTAACTTTATTATGTTGCAGAAATCAACTTCCACTTTGATATTAGAGGGGTTTTTTAATTTTCGTTGGTCAAAAAATAAAAATTTTGCTGCTCATGACTGATTTGTAAAAGCAATAAAAAAGTTCAAACAACCAAGGTGGTGGACACTTTTTAAAGGTTCTGTAGCTTTAGTAAACCTAAAAGACCCTTTACCAGTGGTAAAGGGTAACTTTGCTTACTCAAAGTTGCAAACCCAATTTTGAGTAAACAGAATAAAATGATTCATTTAAGTTATTTTTGTTTGTTGTTGAGAATATAAATGTGAACAATGCATAAAAGTGAAATTTTCCTTTACCAAATGCTGCTTTACATATTCTCCTACATAGAGGAGAATATGTAGCTAGCACAGGTTGTTTCTGTGTAATTTTCATTTCAAAAATAAATAAAAAAGCAGTATTTGTTTATTTTTGCAGCGCTACCAAACCCATATCAACCCAAAAAAAAAAAAAAGAAGTTTGTGTTACCTTTAAAAATGAGAACATTTTCCTTCCTAAATTAAACTGAAATAGCACATATTTTATGAGTCTCTAACATATCAGTGCAGTTCATTTATTATAAACCTTTGAGTGAAAAGAGGTTGATACTTTTAGAGTTGTCCACTTTGACCGGTAATCAAAGAAAAATCGAAATACAAGTCGTGAACATTTCATTTAAATCACAGACCTGGTCATTCAAATTGTTGCATCCAGGATGTCCAAAGGATCATCTGAACTCTACCAAGTTCATGTTTTTTATCAACTGCTGATAGTTTTACCCCAAATATTTTAGCTATAAGATATCAAGTAAGGTGATGTAACTTCAGTTCCATTGCTTCTTAATTAAATCAAGAGAAACTGGAATACAAACCAAACAGGTAAAAGTCCATCACCATTTATTTCTCATGGGTGCAAAAATTAAATCTGAACCAGTTTAAAGTCCTCATGATTTCACTTAAAACTTGATAGTGTTTAAGTACAAAGCCAACTTTGCCAGTGAGATGTCAAAGCACTTTTGGATTGCACTGTTAGTTTACAATAAGCTCCTCATACACACCGTGATCGACATACGAAGGTGTAAAGAGCGCAAATGAAAAAGGGGGTGAATTAAATTCAAAAAAAAAAAAGAAAGAAAGATACATGTGGCTTTTTGTTTTTCATGGCAGTAATTTATGTATCTGGAGCTGAAAACACTCAAATGATCTCTATGAGAGGTTTTGTGTGTGTAACCTGCTGGAGAACTGTGCAAAGATTTTAAACCGCCCCTAATTTCTGTAAATTATTAAAAACTATGGTAATAAAGTCAACATAGTCAAAAGAAAAAGACCTGGAGAACTTGGAAGCAACGTATAAAGAGATTAGAGGTGATTTAAATGCTGAGCACAGGACAACGCAAACATGCTCTGAGAACGGAAACAAAACGTGATCATTCACATGCTGTCTAATGAGGAACCTTCGTGTGTGTGTGTGTGTGCTCACCCTCTACAACGACATCTGACGCGTGTTTTGTTTTGTTTTGTTTTGTTGGGTTTTTTTTTTGCATGTGTGAACATTTGTGGACTCCCATGCACTTTCTCATAAGCAACACAAACAATGCAGGCACTGAAACAGAGAGCTGATAGTAACAGATTTTTGTTCTTTTCTCAGCTTGTATTTAAAAACAGCCAAGTGTGACTTGTGGTCTTTTTCGGTGAAACATCGTGTGAGACTCCATGTTGTGTTTTTCCTGCCGCGGCTCATTCCCAACAGGCTCGTGTTCACCTTAGTGAGGCGCCGACTCAGACATTGTTGCTGCTGTAACAATCAACTTATTAGCATAATTAAAGCATATATTTCGTTTGCAAGTCCTTCCTTTGAAGCAGTCATAATTCTGTTTCGTTTTTTACTATTTTTTTCTTTTTTTTTTTTATTATTTCTGCAGTGTGAAGTTTATTGCGGGGGTTGCCGTGTCATATGGAGGTGGAGGGGAGTAGTAAGAGTCAAAGAGTCTGCTGCTGTTTCACACGAGGAGGAGTCGGCCAGATAAGCAGAGGCAAGGTAGAGCAGTTTGGTTGTTTGTCGCACGGCTGCTGGGGGTAGCCGATGCATCTATCATCTGGCGTAGTGCTTGATGTAATCTTGAACCTTATTTCGAAAATCCTCCTGAATGGAAAAGAGGGGGGTGGGGGGGACAAGTGGGAAGGATAAGATGAGCGTTATGGAGGACAAAACACTATTGAGATGCTTTTTATTGCCGTATGTGCAACTCTAAAATGCAATGAAAAAAACTACTGATGACCTTTAAAATCCTTCACATTGACCTCAAGGCAACCTATTTTGATTTTGTGCGAAGCACAAACAGAAGTAGCACATAACTGAAATGTGAAAGGAAAGCAAGACCAGGTCTTTTTTTTTACAAACACAAGTAAATAAATTGCTACTTTGTCTTCTACTTCTCAATCATTTACTGCTTTTTATTAGTTTCTCATAGAACATTCATTAATGTCCGTGGTTCTAATGTGAAACCATGCTATAAGATTTGTTTTTGATAAAATGGTCAGTGGGTATGAACACTTAAAAGACATTGTTTATGGCAGCACATAAACAGTAAGCTACTGGATATCCATAAGCAAAGCAAAAGCAACCACATGTACTATTCCCAGGATAACCAGAGGTGATGTGACTCATAATGAAGTCACAAATTAGTCATATGTATATAAATATATCCTTCTTCAGTGTCACCATACATTTAGTGAGTCATATTTCTTCAGTGGGAAGACGTTAAGACTGTGCAGAAAAGCATCTTTTCAAAGAAAAAAACCCATAAAAAAAACAGCTCACTTAGGGTACATGACATTTTTCTGCAGCAGTAAATTAAATATGCATTAGTTCTGTGGACATTTTTACTCACTTTCTCCACATTTCCCAAAATCTAAAACTAAATATGTCTTTCCTGAATCAGAATGTATGACTTATGTGACCTTTGTTTGTTCTTTGGCTGGGCTACAGACTGCCTAAAGCATAAAATAACATATTTATGATCCTACTGCCATCCAGGGATTCAACAGAACTAAACCAAGTAATCCCCAGGGAAGGTGAAAGGGTGAGTCTTGTTTTCCTTCATGGGGTCAGTCTCAGACGCTGATGACCAGGGACTGAATAACATGAAGTAGGACTCCTATGTCAAGATGAAGAAAATGCCAACCACTTTGATGAGTCAAGACAATTGATAATAATGGTTTGTTTCGTAATTAAATTGAGTGACGCAAACAGCAGTCAGTCTGCTGATGAAGTAAGTAAGTACATCAGGCAGTTTAATATAAAAACACAGTTTGCTGCTTTTCACACTACTGATCAATGACTGCACACACACACACACACCTGCAGCACTAACCACATCTTAAGTTTGGATGATGTGGATGTGGTGGACCTCATCACCAACAAACAACGATGAAACCGACTACAGGTGAGCCAACTGCTCCAATGGTGTGAGGACAACAATCTCTCGCTCACTATCAGGACAACCAAAGGGATTATTGTCAACTTCTTCACAGCATCCCGTTGACCTGGTGCTATGGAGACAATGAGCAAAACCACATCATTGGCCAAGAAAGATCAAACACACCTAGAGTGAAGGCTGTCATTTACTATGTCCAAAGTACCGAAATCGTCTGTCACTGACATAGAGCAGTGATGAAAGATGTGACACCTGGCTCTGGTCAAACTATTTCAACATTGGTCTCAGTGTTGGTCACATTCGCCCAATGTTGTGTGGTAAAATGGTGTGAGACTGATCAGAAGTTTTTGAAGAGTTTTATATGGAAATGTACTTGGACAACAATGTTGATATTTCACTTCAGCTAGTCTGTTTCCACTATGTGTATTTTGAAATGAATACTTTTAAGGAACATTTATCTGACGTGGTGATGAATTATGTACATTTGTACTAGGGATGCACAATAAACTGGCATCAACATAGGTATCAGCCAATATTAGTCATTTCTTAATATATTGGTATCGGTCCAATAAATGAAACAGGGTTGATATGAACAACCAATATTTATTTGCATCTGTTTTTTTTTTCCACAAACTGTCAAAACTGTAGTGAAATATACATAATACTGGTAAATATCGGTTAACAGCCATAACAGCAAAATTAACATCGGATATCAATATCGGCCTGAATTTCTGTCTTGGTGCATCCCCAATTTCTACAGTTCTTCCCTGAATAACTACTATAATAATTTAATCTATTCATCAGATTGTGAGGAAGCTGAGCATTAACCTTCTTCCTCTGATCCCTGCATTGAGATTTTAATCTTATTCTTGCTTTGATTCTATCTTTTTATAGACAGAATTTATATATTTAAATAGAGAGAAAAACTGTATTATGATCTTTGTATGCTTTGCATAAATGGTGAGCTGACAAAGGGAATGATGATTAATATCTGCGATGTGTCTTCTTAGCTGCTGTTCAGAGTTGAAGGTCGCTGTCACAGCATCCCTGAGCCTCAGCTGCCTGTATAGACAGCTCAATTATTTTTTGTTGTTGTCCCATTTGAGTTACTGTACGCCCTGTAAAATCACAGTTTTTCAAGGTGACATATTGCATACTCTGTAGTAATTTTGTAAGTATAGCAGTACTTCAGTTTTTCTGGTTTTTATTAAACACCGTCATTGAACGGATAAAACTGTGACAGAGCAGAATTCACGCTAGCAGCAGAATTTTCCTTGGTCACATTCCTGCCAATCATCTTTACCATCTCTTTCTAACTCACTCTCTTTTAACTTGATCATACCTTTCTGATATGCATTTCATCTTTTCAACCATGCATACAATCCCACCATTGTATCAGTCTGTTTCTATAGTTCTTTTGACCAATACCTCCCGGGTAAATCTGCTTTAAAGGGAGCTCTTTGCATGACCGCTTTGCCTTGTTCTGTTTTGACATTTTGCTGCCTATCTCTCCTCACACAACAGCTTGCTGTGTTTTCTAGAGACTTTATTGGCTTTGGTTGCTTGTGTCTACATCCCTTCAGCCAAATATTTGGTGAAACCTCACAGAGAAGGCCTTGCAGACCGCGCACACGTCATCCTGGATTTGGATCAAAGACCAGAGACTGTTAATTTGAACTACAACAGCTCTCTTGTTAAAGTGCAGCCTTTTATGCAGAACATACAAACATGGACAAAGCCAAACTAAACTGTTCATTCAGCTGAAGGCAACAGATAAGAAAGAAACTACTCTAAATGGGATCACTGGGCAAGCACGATCAAAGCACAGACATGGTTTAGGGAAGTTAATTAACTTCAACAACAGCCATGACCTTGTGTTAACCTTAAATATGACCCATGCAATTTCATATTTGATAGTATTTTTGGTCACTTTCTCTACATCTCATTGAAAAACGAGTGAATCTGGGGTTTGAATGTTGTGTTTACAATTAACCGTTTTAAGCAAATTAATTATTTAAATTCATTGTAGAAGCAGAAAAGTCTCACCATAAACACCAAGGATAAAATTACAACTTAAGATACTGTGGACTTATCAAACGTAGCTTACCTTGATCCAAAGAAATGTGCAACAAGGTACAATTTTTTGTTTTAAATGTACATAATGTGCATTATGTACATTATACATTCAAGACAACAGACTATTTACAATAACTGAAAATAAAACCATGCAAAAAAGTGCAAATAACAGTAGAAATATTACTTGAAATTAGAGAAACTGCTAATACCAGCCGGGATGTAAACACATATTAAGTTTGTTATAGATTCTAACAGCCACGGAGAGGAAGGATCTCCTATAACGCTCCTTTGTGCACCCAGGATGCAGCAGTCTGTCACTGAAGGAGTCCACCAGTCCAGCAAAACTTCATGCTTGGCGTGGGAGACGTTTACAGAATCCTTCTGTCTCTCTCTATCTGTACTGGGTTGACTGGGCATCTACGTCCAGTGTGGGCCTTCCCAGTCAGCTAATCTAATCGTTTCATCTCAGCTGTAGAAAAGCTACTAACAGATATCACCATAGAATTTGGCAGATGGCAAATTGCCTTCTTTCTCAAAACGCTTCTTTCCTTAACCTTTTTATATTTTGTCAATATGGGATGAGATGTTTCACATAACCACAGTGCAACACAATTTTCTTCATTTACATGTCTAATACGCCTTTTCTGCATTATTAGTAACTCATCTTTATTTTATATGAGAGAGATTTACCTTGGGGCACAAAAAGATCCACTTAAAATGCAGAAAGTTTCCCAAAAGACTCGCATTTCTTCAGAGGGTTTTAGTGCCTGACCTTCTAATGTAGAAACACTGGAATAAAACAATATATGATTGAGATATTCCACCCCCTGATGGTTTCAAGGTTGGACTAGCAGCACAAAGTCTTTTTGATACAGTATTGTGTAGTTTACATCAGACAGTAGTTTTGCTATTTCACAGTCAATTTCAAGTTTAAACTATTTTCATGGTATAATGGAAAAGTTGTAACTAACTTTAAAAGAGATTAAATGTGGTTAATCGTATAGTATTTAAGTTTGACTTAAGTCGCTGTTGTGGTAAAAAAAAAAAGAAACAGAAAGAGCTTCAAAAATAAGAAGAAAACAGTGATTTTTCTTTTAGACTGTTTTAGCAGCAGCTCGCATCTTTTACCACTAGCAAGAACGAGAATTTCCTCTGAACAGCATCCAAAACCAGAGGGAATAATTTTCAAAATATGCAACGCCTCAACAAAAGACAATTAGGAACAAAAGCCTATTAAAAAACCCCAAATTAGAACAAACCTAATAGAACTACTCCAACATGGTGCCACAGTGAGAAGCTCCCACATCACAATGTTGATTCATGGCAATAATAGGATTAGCGGCAGCTATCTACCTGGAAAAGTTTTCAATACCTGAATTTAAAAGCAAATTATTATTTTTGTAAAGACGTCACACTCATATTTTGGTGCTATGCAGCATCAGCCTATCAGTCTCTTCTAACCCTCCCTTCTTGTCATCTTTTATACTCGTTATTTCCATTTACTCATCCATCACCCCAGGGCTCTTGGCCATTAAATCACTGCTATTTCTCTGTGCTAATGTTGCTCTCCAACAGGATTTTTCACATTCAAGTGTGCAGCACTGACATCAATGCATCAGTTCCAGTAGTG